CAGAATACTGCCCTTGTCACAATCAGAGATCTCGAGGAAAAGTGCGATCGGTTGGAGAAGAGGATGACTACTAACTCAAAGAACGTGTCCGACCGAATTTCCGAGCTGGAGAAGGAATGCGACCTCTACAAGAAGAAGACCACCAAGCTTGAAACGTCATTGACAAACAAGGACAAAGAGATGGCAATGGCCAAGGAACAATTGGACATCATGACTGCGGAGGCTCTTGAGGCTAAAAGCAACCTACAAACTGCCGTCAAGAAAACACATGAGCTTGAAGAATCATCTAAAGGCAAGGACAAAGAGATCTCTGCTCTCAGGCAAGAGACAGCAACGGCTAAGGGGCAATTGGACGCCATGACTGCGGAAGCTCATGAGGCCAAAAGCAACCTACAGGTCGCGGCTAAGAGAGTGCACGAACTTGAAAAAGGCTGGAGACCAATACCTAAACTCGAGGAACAGCTAGCAGCGGCTGAGGGACAGTTAAACATCAGGGTCAAGGAAGCTCAAGATGCGAACGTCAAATTGGGGGATGCCGTCAGGAGAGTCAAAGAGCTTGAAGACGTAGAAAGGAAGCTCTCTACTGAAAAGAAGCTGCGGTCGATAGAGACGGCAGCCAAGAAAAATCGGATCATCAAGCTGGAGGAATCATCCAAGCAAGTCAAAGAGCTACAACGACAAAATGATCATCTCCGGAAGGAACAAGCTGGAACGGCTGCCGAAAAAAGTCGAGCGATTGACCAAACCACCAAGCTCAAACAGGAACTTGAGAGCTACAAGGCCCAAGTCAATCAGTACAACGTAAATGTCAACAAGCTTGAGGAAGAACGTCGCCACCAAAACGAAGAGGCCGCAAGACTCGAGCAAGAATGTCTTGGCTACAAGAAACAAATTTTAAGCCAGGAAAGTCAACTACAAGTAACCCAACGCTTGGATGACCGAAGTCATGCAGCCGAAAAACAAGTTCAGGAATTGTCACAAAATATCGCTGCGCTGGAAGTAGAGTGCTTCCAGTACTCTCTCCTCGCCACTGATGAGAATGACATGGCCATTGTAACGACAAGACCAGATGCAACGGACGATTTGGCAGCTCTTCAAGATGCTGTCAACAAGGGCTTGGCCAAAAAGGCGAAAGCTGTCAGCATGATGTGTGAGTTTATACGGATCACCTTCAAAGAACAATCCCACGGCGGGGAGGGCGTGCTTTTGGCACTTCCGACCCTTTGGATTGCGGTGTCCGCGCTGGATCGTGCTGTCAAAGAGGTTGTGGGACGGCTGGAGTGCTTACTGGAGAGTTGACGGAGCAAACTGGTAAAGAATAAGGTAATGTAGTAGAATAATAGAGCGTTGGGAGTACCTTATCATGGTTTAATGATGGAAGCGCAATAGTAATGGTAGAAAATATTGCAGTCTTTTCCGTCTTTGCCGTACATGCGAGTATTTCATCTCAAGTGACCGTAGACCTATATCCTGGACCAAAAATAGTGGTAAAAACACCTGCTGTATGTGAAATGGGTTGTATTCCGATCCAGATGGTTCCAACCCCTACCTGAATATGTGGAAGAAGGGAGTTATTTCAAGAGCCTCTGCAAGATTTCCAAGGCCTCGGAGCAGCCACCCCCAAACTCATCTCTACAAGCAACCATATTTTTCAAGATGCTACCCAATAAACTCATTACAAATATCCTGATCTGTTGCTTCCCAAAAGCCCGCTGGCAATAACCCTTTGAACATGAGCCAGGGCCAGAGATGCATCCCCGTCACTCCTTCCTCCGCCTTTGAACATCGCCCACGCACACAGAAAAATAAACCTCGCACTCCGAGCATTATGGAATTCCTAATCCCCTCAAACCCCGCGGGAATTCAAGATGCCCAATCTCCAGGATCTCTTGGATGGGTATACATGGCGCACCACTACAGCTGATACTCCCGACTGGGATGTCTTCCCTTTTTTCAAGGTCTCGCTCTGCTGGAAGGACTGTGAAAAGATACGGGGACAACGAGGAGGTCCGCGTTAATGCGGGGTCTGCTGGTGGTGGTTCTGCATTGACGACGATGGGGCATCTGCTGCATCTGAACTCCAGCCTGGTACTGGAGTTACTGTGTTTGGGTTTGGCGGACCTATACGGATTTTATACCTGGCTTGGGCCTGGAATCATCGCTACAAAAAGTCAGGGTTGAAGGTCTACTCGTTCGTAATTAGCTTTTCCTTTCAATCACCTGTGAGGAAAGTCGGGGAACAGTTTCCACTAAGGATTGTGAAAGAAGATCAAGCAGATTTAGCATGGTTTGAGTAATCAGAGCATGGGCAATATGGCTTTGGATCAGGTAGAGCACCTGAGGAAGTCTGATTTAAGGATGCTCTGAACTAGGAGACTCTTCTACTTTTTGTGAGAAAGTCTATCAGAAACGATGAAAGACCGCAACCAGAAGGTAAGACAAACCAGCACTACCATGTACGCTCAAGCATCGTAAGGATCCTCCAAACGCGGGCATTCACGAGATCCCTCTCCCACATGTGCAGTCAAATCCTGCAGGCCAACCCGACCCATATTATCCTCGAACTCCTTCACAACTTGCTCCAAGTTCTCCAGCATGCCCGCGAGCGAGTCACACAACGCCGGCACAGGGCTCTTCTTTACCAGCACACACACCACCTTTCCCAAGCGCTTCACGTGCCCGGATTTTATAAGTATAGACGCGAGGCCCTTCTTAACGCGCTCCTTCTCCTCGGCTTCTCTTGTACATGTACGGCGCGCCATCTTTTGGGCTCGGATGTGGAACTGACCCATTTCCATGTTGTGGCGAGCAACTAGGTCGTTCAGCCGGCGACACTCAAGCTCGAGCTCGAAATATATCATCTTTCGGGTCCGGAAGTTTTTTTGGCGGCAGCGGTTTTGGCTTGCCCTTGTTTTGGATCTCCTCTTCCTTCCCCTTGAACTTGGTGTTGCGCACTCGCGTGCTTTGAGTTTGGGCCTCGACTTTGACGAGGGTGTCGTCGATTGATGCGAATTTGAGCATCGAGGCCGTGACCTGCCTCTGCTCTTTGACTTTCTTGTCGAGAAGTTCGTGTTGCTTTTTTAGCTGCTCTTCCAATGAATCGTTCTCCTCCTCGAGTTTAGTGATCCCGTTAGAGTGTCTCGATTTTTCCGCAGCACCTTCGTCTTTGAACTTCTTCAGTTCAACTGCCAAAGCTTGCTGATGGGCTCTTTCCTCCTCTAGCTGGGCGGCACTTTCCTTTTTGACCTGCCTCAGCTCAGCTTCCAAAGCCGCAACTCTGCTCGCCGCCGTCTGCTTCGTGACTTCCCTGACAAGCTGGGCTTGCTCTACCTCCTCCTTCAGGCCGATTATCACGTCGTTGTATGCGATCACGATCGCATTTCGCTCATCCAAGGCTTGCTTGAGCTCGCAGGCTTCCTTGTGCAGCTTCTCGTATCTGCGCCTAAGATGTTGGACTTCGCCTTCGGCTTGCGCCAGACGCAGCTTGGTGCGCTCAGCAGTGCGTGCCGACTCGTCAACGTGGACTGAAAAACACAATCAGGTTAGCCATCCGTGAACATTTGAATTATCAGTCCCACATTATAACAGAAGCCACAACTTACTGTACTTATTCCACATATGACAGTCGACAAAGAACTCTTTGAAGTCTCTCACATACTGCGGGTAGATTCCACCAAGATATTCGCCAGGCGAAAAGCCCAAATCCCACATGCGCTGCATGACCCTTACTTCTCTCTCAAATCTTTTTCTTGACATTTCCATGCAACCGAGTTGTACGTGTAGGAAAAGCGTGTCGCGCTCCGGCTGGTATACCCTTGCGGGCACGTAGACCTATGGCGGGATCTGTGCTTGCCCCGGTTGTTCTTCCGCCGTATACGGCGGAGGTGGAACGTGTGGAAGATCGTCAGCCATCGTGATATCTTGGTTGTTGCTGGTAACCGACGGAGATGAGGAAGGAGATGAAGAAGCGGTTGACTCTGAAGAGGTTGAATCTGGAAAGGAAGAGAGGGAGAACAAGAACACGTTCAAGTTGGAGAGTAGACTTGGAAGAAGGAAACCGAGCTTGCCCATTGAGGAGTGGAAAGAAAACAGTTTGCGCGAGGGTGACGAGAAAATACCCCGCCACAAAATGCATCCAGACTGCGGTGGCCTAAAATTCCGTCTTCGTCTGAAGTATGAAACGCGTCAGTGAAGATAAGGGGTTACTTCGGAGAGAACATCGTCAGCTCAATCTTTAGATTGGCGCACACGTTCTCACCAGACCATATTGCAAGACTCATTCGACCATCCAAACTTCAAGCTGAAACAGATCGATCACTTTCTGTTGTTGTACGACTCTGTTGGGACGACACTTCGTGGGCGGATCTCGTACATTGCATGTCCGCTCAACGGGTCATCAAGATAGAGGCACCTACTATTGTCCGAACAAAACATTAAGTACCAAGGGAGACGGACCACCCACAAGAAGAGAAAAGCAACCACAAAGACTCTGTCACATTCCACGCGCCGTCAAAAGCATTTGTGGTCTTCAACTTGAAACCATCCAAACGATTACAACCGGAAGAGATTGGGATAGGCCAAATGGGAGCTTACAGTTCAAGTCTCTGGCCAAGATATGAGTCTCGGGGCTTTTGTTTGTCAATGGTGAGTATAATATTTCAATGCCCACAGAAAGAGACCACGGAATTGGGAGATCAAGGCTCCTTCCTGCGCACACTTCACTGTCACCTCACGACTCCAGGCTACTGTGTACCTGTAACAGGGAGCCGAACTCGTCCGCTCTGTTTGCTCGTTGCATATCCGCCGTCTGTCCGAGATCAGATGCAAGTACCGGAGCATAATATGCTGGCTGCAATCCGATCAAGGTGTTTGAAATGTACTTCAAAGCATATCGCATGTCCGTTGATACTTGTAGAAGGTCCAGCGAGGAATTCCGTGAAGCAGAAGGTAACCAGACGTGTATCCCACCCCCCAGAAGTATGGCGATCCCTCGGTAAGGTACCTGGCGTTTCCCTAGCCACAGTGAGCGGTATCAGCTTTTATCTCGTGTCTTTTTATCGGACGAAGGGCGGTGAGTGGCAGGGCCAACATACTGCGTGTCTGGTATCTTCTACGCGTACCTGCCGCCTGACGATAACCCTTCTTCTGTTGCCGTCGTTACCCCTCCTGTGATTTCACCGTGGGTCCTCTCGTGGCTGCCACTGGCTGTCAAAGCCGACTGCCAGTCCTTCTCGAAATTCTTGCCAGTTACCCTCCCTCTGCGGCACAGGTATAAATCCTCCTCCTTCGACCCCCCCATCCCTGAATCTTTTCTTCTCTTCCCCTCTTCTTCCTCGACTCACCCAAAGCCACTTGTCACTTCCCACCACCACAAGCAAATCAAGATGTCTATCCGACGCCCTGGCAATCCTCACCCCGTCCCCTACCCGTAAGTCAGCCCATCTCCTCAAACCTCAACCACTCAAGCACTTCCGCCCCCGCTGACTCCATGTTTCTCTTCCAGGACCCTTCGCTCGGTCTTCTGGGACCTTGCCGGGCTGGCCATCAACACCTATATTGGGTACTTCGGGTGAGTTCCTCAACGCAAAATGTCCCCGCCCATCTCGTAATCCAGGCACATCAGTAACTACCCAAGTCTCATAGTGCGCACGAAGATGCCCTAGATTGCTTCGACGAGGCATTCCAGGACTGGTGTCACGGGGCCGATATCGTCCCTTGCTGAACGCAAAGTGATGTACACTCCACATCTTAGCGTGTCGCTAACCTCTTTGTTTTGATGTAGCAATCTCTAAGCGCACACCAGTGCCACCGTGGGCGGCGGAAAGGAGCTCCGCACCGAGTAACAAGCCTTCATAGACGATCGGGAGGCCACTGAGCTCAATGGTGTTACGATCCATTCAGGGATCACTTATGTAATCACTTAGATAG